TTCAATTCAATTCAATTTGAAAAAATCAAATCAAATTCAAATTGCTTAAATATTTGATTTGATTCGATTTTAAGGAACCCTACTACCCAATGTCTACTATATGGTAATTTAGTTGACATTGAATTTCCTCAACTCATTTAAACTAATTTTTCACATCAGTTAACTCTAAAAAACTTTATTTGTTAAAAGAAACATTAAAACTGTATCTGATCAAGTAATACAAGTAATACAAAGATACATAAATATGAGGCCAAACATTATTTCTAATAATATGATAATTAGTAACCATTCTTCTTATTGTATCATTGATTCTTTGATTTTCGTTACATCTATTTATACTCTTCTCAATCAATTTAAATTTGATCTAAAAGATGAAAAGTTACTCATTTTCCATAAAATAGTTCACACAAATTTATTCCTCATTTTACTTTTCCCAGTTCTCATTTGAGTTTTACTTTTTTACTTGTTCATGATAATTTTAATATAGATTTTACCACTGCTATTCCATCTTTTGGGCTAATTTTACTAACGCAGAAATTTTGCTTTACTTCTAGTTTTACTAATCTGCCTTTCTAATTTAGAGATTAACGTTTGCACAGATAGTTTGACACTGATACATTTATTTAATAAGATTCACAAACAGAATGCTTTCAGATATCCTTTACTGATGTTCAAACTCCCATTCTACATTCATTGATCATTTATTTTTAAATTACTGAACGAACAAAGTATCTCACTAATACTTAAAAAAGTAGCAGCATATTCTGATAACCCATATAATAATAAAGTTGATCAACTAGCTAAGGCTTTCTTACTTTCCTCTCCTTTACCAATTACTTTCACCCAAACCCCTTTTTCTCATATATCCCAATCTTTAATAACATGCCTATCCTTACTTTCTTAAACCCCTTTTTTAAAGATTACACTAACACCAAACAATTCATTAATTTCTACTATCTTAAAAGAAATAGCAAATATTCTCAACTTCAAATTAATTGATCAATAACTTTTGAACTCATCAAACTTGGCACCCTTACTGAAACTTCTTTCAAGAAATCTAGAGCATATTGTAAAAGACTTAAATTCCTCTTTGAACAAATACCTAACATTTAATTCATGAAATTGACTCAACCTTCAATCTATAATTCATCATGAAAATGCTGTTGTTGTAATACGCATAAAAAAAATTTTAACTACATTTGGATTTGTTCTAAAATTAGAAAAAAGATGAAGCTAATTATAACTGATGCTTTATTGATCCTAAAATAACAACTTTTTATCCATACTTTTAAATTAATATACCCCCTGACATTACAAGTCTTTTATTTTCTTTTCATCCTTTCTAGATGATAAAAGAGGATCATCACAATTTTACTTTAATTGATTTTATTAAAGGCATTGTTCCTACTGTCCTTTCTAAATTACTCAACTACTTTACTCATTCTTCATTGACTACCTTTAAACTTCTTTTCCTATTTTACAACTATATTTTCGATCAAACTTATGAAATTACAGTGTGTAATGAAAAAAACAGCGGTCAATAAAATAATTTTTTTTTGCAAATAAATTATAAAATTATATAATGTTGATCATAAACAAACATTAATTTAATATTTCCAAATTTAGAAAAACGTGATTTTATAAGTAAATTTTTGTTTACCTTTGTTTTTTTTTTGTGTTTTTTCTTTGCAAAGATGGTTAATGCAAGATTAGAAGCTCAAAGGCAAACAATTCGACATTATTGGCTTAATGGCATTAAGTCAGCAAAGGAAATACAAAAAAAAACTAGTATTCTCCTTCATACTATTGAGCGTAATCTTAAAAAGCTTAGAGAAACAGGTGATATTAATCATTAGTGTAATAATGGTCAGAAATCGAAGATTACACAAGCCATTTCTTGGGCTATTGGGCAATATGTACACAAAAATACTGCAGTTTCGACCTGCCAACTTGCTACAAAAATAGAAGATACCTATGATATTTCTATTTCATACATGTCTATTTGGAGAAATATGAAAAAAAAGGGTATGAAAGTTCTGTCCTATTAGCAACTCCAATACTTACAAATCGGCTTATTGAAATGAGAATAGCATGGGTACAAGCACATTTAAATGATAATTGGAATCAAACCATATTCACTGATAAAACAGCATTTGACCTTTTTCGAAATAAAGTCAGTAGATGGCATAAAAATGGTGAAAGACCTATCTGAAGGTTGCCAAAATCTTGCCAAAAAGTGGTGGCATGGGGAGGGATTTCAAAAAAAGGAAAAACACCCCTTTTTTGTTTTACTATTATTATGGATGGACCATTTTATGTGAGTATATTGCAAGACCAGCTTCTACCTGCTGCAAGAAGCATATATAGAAGAAACTAGCACCTGCAACAAGACAATGATCCGAAGCACACATCACGTGTTGCAAAGAATTTTATTACCGAAAATTCAATTCGCGTAATTGATTAGCCATCTAATAGCCCAGACCTTAACCCTATTGAAAATATGTGGACAATCATCAAAGATAATGTAGAAAAAAAGATGCCTCAAAATATTAGTGAATTAACCAAATTTATGGTTGAAGAATGGGATGCAATCCCTCAGTCAATGGTGAATAATTTAGTAATGTCCATGAAAACCAGATGTAAAATGGTTTTGTAGAAAAACGGCGATAGAATATCGTATTGAAATTTTTTTGTCTAATAAAGGAATTGATTGGCTTTTAAATCAATATAAATTCATCCAAATTGGATGTGTAGATTTTAAGTTATGCCATTTTTTGTTACCGCCATTTTTTTCATTACATACTGTATATGGAAATCAAAATGCAATGCTACTATAGAAAAAGAATGTTCTCTCAATATTTCCAAATACAGAAAAAAACAAAATTACAGCTCATCAAAAAATTTCTCTATCAATAGCTTCACTAACACCGTTCCCTCCAATTCTGAGTTAAAATATGATCACACATCCCTAATGATCAAATCATACATACACAGCTGAAAATGGTCTAGCTTTTTAATGCAGTAATAACTATTTGTCAAACATTTTTCTCTTCTTTAGTTGGGTGGCAATGGTAATTCTACTAGTGATTGTTACCAGAGCCTAACAGGACAATCGGTTGATCTGATTGAAGTTAGCTTACTAATGATAATTATTAGGCAGCATTTTTTATTTTTTCTACTTTTGTATCCTTCTTTGGGATTTTTATTTTTTTAAATTGATTATGAATTTTTTATAATAAATAAATGCATTACTACGTCTTTAAAAAAAAAGCTGATCAAAAATTAATGAATATTAGCTCATTAGATTTGTTTAGTTATAAGGAATCGAATGGTAGTTAATACATATGAATCAGAGTGATATTGATTGAGATTGTATATCTTTGTTTTTTTTGTTTTTATATAAAAAAATTATGTGATATGATTATACATGAAGTCGAAATAGATCATTTCAGATATTCGAAATGGTTGAAATGGTCAAAATTATTTTGATCATTTGAGGCTAAAGTCGCGAAATAGTCGAAATGACATCATATCACATGATTTTTTATATTTAGAAAAAACAAAAAACAAAATATGTAGATCTCGGTTAATATCGCTTCGATTCATATGAAATAACTACCATTCGATTCCTCAGATTCCTTATACTTACTCTTTCTCGTTGGATTTTTTCCAAGAATTTTTACTTAAAAAAAGTACCTATTCAATGGCAGCCGCGGCTTAGCCTGTAAACAAACTAAAAAACCCTACCTTTCAAAAATATTCTTCGCTTTGTTCCCCACACCCCTATCTACATAAAATTTTTCGAAATAGCCTAAACAGTATTGTTTTTTGTTAAAATATTTTTTCTTCCTCTTTTCGAAAAATTTTTTTCCATTTTTCTCTTTTTCTTTTTTGCCTACTAAAAAGTAGGCATCAAGGGGTATCCTAACTGATGATCATGATCGATATACTTTGGATAAACAAATCTCACGTGATGACACCTTTTCCTTTCCTAAACAATATACTTTCTTTTGATTGGCCTTTGCCTTTCTGCAGATCCTCTATCGTCAAAGATCACGTGCAAATTTAGCGTGAATTATTATTTTGTTTCTTCATGAGGTCTTCTATACGGTGTGATAGTAGCTACCACTTGGTTTGTATTTTGTTAGCCTACCGTAATTTTAAATGGAGCTCTGGGTGGTCATTGATATTTGTTTACTCTGTGTAAATCCGCTTCGTCTAGATCTGTTCCTTTCTAGTAACCAGGTAGAGGGTATAGGTTACTATCTGTTGCTTCATTATAGGGTTCTCGTAGTGGATTCCACGTGATATTTTTTCTGTACTTGTGAATCTACAAGTATGAAGAGCCTCTGTTTAGACCTTTCTTTAGACGGTCGGATGGTCGTTTATCCAGAATTAACTGGACATTTAGGTTTATATAGAGTTGTGTTGCCTTTTTTAATAATTTCTATTTGTACCTATTTCCCTTCTTAGGAGGGTTGTTAGTTTTTAAA